AGCGACATCATACCATTTGTTTTCTTCCTGGAGTGTGCCCTGCGAAGAGTGCTGGATCAGGCCGTAGATGAGCGTGAAGAGGAAGAGTTGTGGTCACCATCACCTCCAGAAACAGCCTTATCAGCATAGCTTGCTGGACCTGCGGCAACGCTGGAAGAGGATTGTGAGGAAGAGGAGTCAGAGGAGGAATGTGGCTTTGAGGAGGAGGAGGAAGACCAACCACAACAGGCATCCCAGGGTGCTCGTTGTCACCTATCTGGTACCCGTGGTGTTGTACGTGGCTGGGGGGAAGAAATACCTTCATTGAGATCACTGAGGAGGAGAAGACGGAAATGGTAGCTCGGCATTCAACCTTGTGCAAATGGGGTCTTTCATGCTGTCATGCCTGTTGAGGGACCCTCGTATAAAAAGGCTGAAGGAGAACGACCTGTACTGGGTGTCCACGCTACTAGACCCCCGGTATAAGCAGAAAGTACGCTGCCACCTCCTCTACTCCTCCTACTCCATCCTCTTCCATAACCTCCTCGGCTGAGTCCTCTTCTGCTGCTGCGTCTAACTCCACATCAACGGATAGGGGACGTAACAGTGATTAAACTGATAACAATAGTACTAAACACACCACTCCTATCTGGTGGCACATTAGATTGCACGCGCAGTGCCCCAAATTTGTTGTGATCTGTGAGTAAGGTAAGCGGTTGTCCATACAAGTAGGTTGCAGCTTTTTGAGGGCCCACACCACCGCTATGCACTCCTTTTCAATGGCAGTGAATATACTTCGCTGTGCAAAAGTTTACAGCTTAGATAAGCCCCGGGTTGCTAGCCACCATCTGCTCCGACTTGGCTCAATACTGCTCCCAATCCAAGCATAAAAGCGTCTGTATGGACGAGAAAGTGTTTAGTTGGATCAGGAGAAGAAAGTACAGGTGATTTAATGAGCGCCGTCTTGAGCTGTTGGAAGGCCTGTTCACACTCTGGGGCCCATACTACTATCTTGGTGAGGTTTTTACACGTTCCTATATGGCACTTACTGGGCTTTAGGGTCAGTCCGGACTCCCTAATCCGGTCTATTACGGCTCCTATGTGGGTCAGGTGTTCGGGCCAGGAGCTGCTAAAAATGTTTATACCATCCAAGTAGGTGTGTATCAGTGTGATCAGGGATCCTTAGGACAGGTGTCAATCCATATCTGCCAAGTGACCCTATGTTGGGGTAACATTCCCTATTCTGCTCTGTGTCAGTGTGTATCAGGGGCTCTGAGGACAGGTGTCAATCCATATCTGCCAAGTGACCCTATGTAGGAGAACAGTCTCTATTCTGCTGTGTCAGTGTGTATCATGGTCTCTGAGGACAGGTGTCAATCCATATCTGCCATTGTCCCGCTGTTGGGGTAACATTCCCTATTCTGTGTCTAATTGTGTATCAGGGATCCTTAGGACGAAAGTGTCCAATCCATATCTGCCAAGTGACCCTATGTTGGGGTAACGTCCTATTCTATACTGTGTCCAGTATGTATCAGGGATCCTTAGGACAGGTGTCAATCCATATCTGCCAAACCCGATGTTGGGTAACATTCCCTATTCTGATCTGTGTCAGTGTGTATCAGGGGCTCTGAGGACAGGTGTCAATCCATATCTGCCATGTGACCCTATGTAGGAGGAACAGTCCTATTCTGCTCTGTGTCAGTGTGTATCAGGGATCCCTAGGACAGGTGTCAATCCATATCTGCCAAGTGACCCTATGTAAAAAAGGCCTGATGAGATGAGCTGCCTTGGGCTAAAAATGGTCCACACGCTGCTGTATTTTAGCTCTGAATGCCTGTTGACTTGCGTGACTTATCCGCCACCAACTTGGGTTCAAGCAGCCAGTGTGTACTTTATAAATGGCTTTATAAAGCAGTGTGTACTTTATAAATGGCTCCACCTGCCACCCGTACAGCAACACAGTCTACAGTTAGGAGGTGTCTGATTCACGCCGTGACATCCAGTCTACCAGGCGTGGTAAACTCTGCGGCGTAAATGGGATTTGAACTGTGGTTCTTCTGGACCATATCCTGCTGTTCTTCCTCTGAACCATTTCAGGACTTTGGACTAACTCCCTATTTATTCTTGTATTGCCTGCAGCACCAGGTGTGGACTTCACAAAGCTCTGATCTGTCAGTAACTCTCCAGCCGATCCTAATTAACAGGATATAAGCCTGCCTCACCCTGGGAGGGGTGTCAGTTCATTGACTCTGGTTCTCTTGTTTGGTTCCTGTTACTCTGTACCTGCGTTCCAGTGATTCTTGTCTAATTCCGGCTTCTGACCTTGGCTTTCCTCCTGGACTACTCTGACCTCTGGCTTCCCTGATTTCGGCTTCCCTTGACCACGCTTCTGCTTATCCCTGCTGTACTGAGTCTTGGAGCACTTTTCCTGGAAAGCCCCCGTGCACAGACTCACAGGCCAGGTGGCGTCTTACCTGGTCACCCTGGTCTGTGTCTACTTTGCAAGGGTGAGCGTATAACTCTGCGAGCTGGACTCCCTATCAGGTAAGACTCCGTTACAGGAGGACCAACCAAGCATCTTCTTCCATCTGCCTGTTACAGAAATTACTGCCGTGTACACGACCACTGATAGGAGACGCGGAAGGTATTAAACTGATAAAAATAGTACTAAACACACCACTCCTATCTGGTGTCACATTAGCTTGACGGCATGGTGCCCAAATTTGCAATAGAAGGACCCGATAAGCCCTCTTCTTCCATCATCCCTGTTACAAAATCAATGCAGGTGTCGATCCACTGATAGGAGGCGGAAGGTATTAAACTGATCAGAACAATACTAAACACACCACAAATAAGGTTTCTCTCCTGGCATGAAACTCCATCAAATGATGCTTAAGATTGAAGCTGAAAAGCATTTCTCACACTCGAACAAAAATATATTTTTATTCTCTCCACTTTGAACTTAGAAATGGCGTTTGGGAAGAGATAACATAATTAAACACAGGCAGTAAAAATACAGTTTTTAGCCATACACTGTAACTTTAAAACTACACATCCCATCTTCATAATTACATATTTGGAATCAGCACACTTGAAACATAAACATAACCAAAAATCAGCCAAATCCATCCAGGGGTTAAAAAGTTAGCTGGAGGTCCCTTTATGACCGACCGCAAGCACATTTTCCTGCCCAAAACAGTTCCATAGATTTGGGCTGTGAGGTCGGTCTATTTCAGGCTGAAAAAACGACTAAGTCCCATCGCCGAATGGGACTTAGTCTCTGCAGCTGAAATAATTTCCCATTTACTGAACCAAGTGGGAAATAGCAAGGCAGGCACAAAGGGTTTGCACCAGGTCTGGGGACACAGGGGACACCGTCTTAAAGGGGCCGTGTCCCCAACAAGTCTGGGGACACGGCCTTAAAGGGGCAGTGTCCCAATCTTCCTGATGTCCCAAAAAAGGTGTTTAAAGGGCCAGCACCAGTCACATAAAGAGTCCATAAGCCCCAATATGCCCACCGACAGTCTTAAAGGGCCATACACACCAAATAAAAGTGCATACATTTTCACAATCTCCCAGGGGCCATAGTCATGCGGGAGGAGGCTGGCAAATAGGCTTCTCCACAACCCAGGGAAGCAGGGCAATTTGCCATTTAAAGGGCCCGTTACAAATAGCAGTTTGTAACAAGGTGTCAATCCATATCTGCCAAGTGACCCGATGTAGGGGGAACAGTCCCTATTCTGCTCTGTGTCAGTGTGTATCAGGGATCCTTAGGACAGGTGTCAATCCATATCTGCCAAGTGACCCTATGTAGGAGGAACAGTCCCTATTCTGCTCTGTGTCAGTGTGTATCAGGGATCCTTAGGACAGGTGTCAATCCATATCTGCCAAGTGACCCTATGTAGGGGGACCAGTCTCTATTCTGCTCTGTGTCCGTGTGCATCAGGGGCTCTGAGGACAGGTGTCAATCCATATGTCAAGGTGTCAATATGTCATATGTCAGGTGTCAATCCATATTCATTGTGATTTAGGAATGTTAGGTGATTTCTGCCCTTTATGGATTAAAACCAGACTCTGTATCAACTGTGTAATTTTCCATGGGAGTTTTGCCATGGATCCCCCTCCGGCATGCCACAGTCCAGGTGTTAGTCCCCTTGAAACAACTTTTCCATCCCTATTGTGGCCAGAAAGAGTCCCTGTGTGTTTTAAAATTCGCCTCCCCATTGAAGTCAATGGCGTTTCGGGCGGTTCGCCGGTTCGCGAACATTTGCGGAAGTTCGCGTTCGCCGTTCGCGAACCGAAAATTTCGGGTTCGCGACATCACTACTGTCCACACAGGAAAAGTTGTGCCGAGCAGCAACCTAATCCACAGAAGGGTTAATGCTGAGCAGCAATTATGCAAATGAAACCTGGTAACTGACTTTGGGGTCAAAAGCCGGTTACTGCCTATCAGAACAAAAGGAGGGGTATTTAGGCCCAGTTCTCAGCCTGCTCAGTGCCCTGTCGTGGTTTCCCTTGTGGTTGTCTGAGAGCGCGTTCCTGTTTATAGTTTTCTACCTGGTTTTTGACTTTGGCTTTGTTTATTGACTTCTCTATATTCTGGTATCCTGACTCCTGGCTTTCCTCATCGCTGTGTCCCTTTCTGTGTTCCCTGACCTCAGCTAGTATTTTTGACTATTCTTTGTACGTTAAATCCGGCCATTCTAAGGACCGGTAATACTGTACTTATTTGTCATCCGTGCTGTACAGTTCTACGTGCTGGATCATACAGTAATCCTGACACCGTGCTGTCTTTGATTATGTCCTCCACCATTTCCCATATTGGTCGTATGCGGGGGCACGACCACCAAATGTGGAGAGTGTCTCCTACTGATTCTTGGCACCTCCAGCACTTATTATCTATGGTTTTGTACATTTTTGCTATTTTGTTAGGCGTTAGCTACCATCTGTACATTATTTTTCTGGAGATATCTAGGTGTGATGAACATAATGAGGTGCCCTTGTGGGCTGTGAAAGCCTTGTGCCATTCTTGGGATGTTAATTCTCTTCCTATGTCTTTGTGCCATTTTGTTTGAAAACCCCACGGGTGTGGTGGGGGAACCTCTATGAGCATGTTGTAGCAGAATGAGAGGGTTTTTTTTCTGTTTCATATTTATACACTTATATTGATATTGTGTCATCTTCCCCCGTTTGCTTTGAGTGCCGACTGTCCCCATGGACTGTGTGATACAGTTGCATGTATGAGAATTGGGCCGTTTGAGGTAGGTTGAGTTGTGCCTTCAAGTCTGTGAAACTTTTAAGGAAGCCTTGATGGCATACCTGATATAGATGTGTTACATTGTGGGTTGCCCATATTTTTGTAGTTAAATGAGGGGTTTAGGATGTGTAGGGTTTTCAGTGGGGTTGCGGGGTACCATGTGGACTGTGAGCACACCCTGTGTCTGTTTTTGTCCCAAATAGATGGCATCAGTCTGGTGGTTGGCAGCATTTTGGGATTATGGAGTCTTAGATCTTTCGGGGCCCACAGAAGGTCTGTTAAGGATCTCCCTATTATTCTATTGGATTCCAGGGTTACCTATTGAGGGGTTAGTGTATGTGAGTGGCAGCTTAGTACGTTGGCTAGTTGTGTGGCCCTGTGGTATTCTTTGACATTGGGGAAGCTCAGCCCTACTTTACTTACTGTTTGGGATAGTAGACTCCAGGGAACCCTAGGTTTCTTATTTTGCCATCCAAATTTGAGGAGGGTTGTTTGCAGTGACTTTAGGAATTTTACCGGAACGGTTATCTGTAGTGATCGAAACAAGTATAGGATTTTCGGTAGTATCACCATTTTGATTGCCGCGCAGCAGCCCACCCATGACATGTAGCTGTGTTCCCATTTTTTGAGAGTGGTTTCTATTTCTTTATGTAGTTGCTGGTAGTTTGTTGTAAAGAGTGTATTGTGTGTCCTTGTTAGTTTAATTACAAGAAATGTGAGGCAGTCCTGTCTCCAGTCGTATTTAAATGCTGCTTTGAGTCTGTCCACAAGGTCGCCCTCTATTCCTATACCCATCGCTTGGGTTTTGGTAGTGTTTAGTTTGTAGTACGATTGTGAGCTATAAGTTTCTAGTTCTTTTTGGAGGTTGAGTAAGTGTCAGAAGGACATCGTCAGCAAATAGATTGAGTTTATATTCCAATGTCTATCCATGTCTGTCCATGTATATTGGGGTTTCGCCTGATTGCTTCAACTAATGGTTCCAAGGCCATAACATATAGAAGTGGTGACAGGGGGCAACCTTGTCTAGTGCCGTTGGTGATGGCAAATGGAACTGATTGGGATCCCGAAGTAGCCACCACAGCGTTCGGAAGACTGTATAGGGCTTTGATGTCTGTTAGATATGAGGGGGGGGAGTCAAATTTTGTGAGGACAGCCTCCATGAATCGCCAATTCAGTCTGTCAAAGGCTTTTTCCGCGTCCAGTGAGATTATAAGGCCATGAGTCCAGTCCATGTGAATCATCTGGAGAATGTCTACTACTTTTTGAGTGTTGTCTGACCCCTGTCTCCCCTGTACAAATCCTACTTGATCATCTGAGATGATGGTAGGGAGTATGGGTTGTAGTCGGGTGGCTAGTATTTTGGCGTAAAGTTTGGTGTCTGCGTTTAATAAGGATATTGGGCGGAAGTTTTGGCAATGTGTAGGAGGTTTGCCTGGTTTAGGAAGGGTTATTACTCTGGCTGTTAGGAATTCTGCAGGGAATGTCCCTGTGTGGGGGGCATGATTGAACGCAGCTGCGAGTTGGGGGACTAGGGTATTTTTGAATTTTTTATAGTATTCGTTTGTGTATCCATCTGGGCCTGGGGTTTTCCCTTTGGGTAGGGAATCAATGCCATCTATGATTTCAAGTTCTGTGAATGAGGTCATTAGATTGTGTTTTTGAGGCTCTGTTAGGGTTGGTAGTGGTACATTGTCAAGGTAAGATTTAATGCTTGTCTCTGTGGGTTTTGGGGTGTTGGGGTCTGCTAAATTATAAAGCTGTTTGTAATATTGGTCAAATTCTTCACAAATCTCTACTGGTAGGTGTAGTTTCCTTCCCTTTTTGTCGATTATGTGTGCTATTCGAGATTGTTGTTGTCTGTCCCGTAGTCTATTTGCTAGGATTTTACTAGCCTTGTTTCCATGTACATAGTTTCATAAGTTTAGTTTGTTTAGCATGAGACCAAATTTGCAAAGTCTAATTTCGGTGAGTTTCTCTTGAGTGGCAGCTATTAGTTTTTTATGTTTCTCCGTTGGGTGCTTTTGGTTTTCTTTGTGTAGTGTGTCTAATAGCTTTGTATGGTGTCAGCTCTTTGTCATTTTGTTTCTTGATGTATGAGGCCCTACTTATGAGCGTGCCCCTCATTACGGCTTTATGTGCCAACCATAGCATATGGGGGTTTTGGTTAGGTGATGTGTTTGTGTCGAAATATTGTTGCAATTCTTTTTCTAATTGTGTGC